TAATTTCTTGATGGAGAATAGGATGCCAAGGTATTTATAGGGGAACTCCGCGATCGCGTACGGAAAGACGTGCGAGACCACGGCCAGATCATCCTCCAAGCACCGGATCAGCATGATAGAGCATTTTCCAAAGTTTGTGAACAACTCAGAGGTCGACTCAAAACATGGCATGATCCCCTTGATCACCTCTAAGTCCTGATCGACCAGGGAGAGAAAGAGGACTAGGTTATTTGCATAAAACGATGCCCTGTGCTTGATGGCGTGAACATCAAGCGGTTAGAGAACTCTGGTGTCGTTGGCATGTCGGATAAGACGTTAACCACATCCATTACCAAAATGAATAGCATCGGGGAGAGAGGGTCTCCTTGCCGAAGGCCACGCTTGTGGGAGAAGCGCGGCGGTGGTGATGTACACTAGTGGTAGACAGGTGTACTTCTCCAAAATGATGATAGACTTGCAAAACCTTTCATAGAAGCTGAGTTATGTAAATTTGTTTCAAGTTTAAAATTTTGGAATGTTACAGGTTCAGTATGCAAGAATAAACCGAGTCTTAAAATTGTGGTTTTCCCATATTAAATTACAACAAAGTGCACATTTTCACCAAACTTTATTCTCTGAAAAATATAGTTTTGAAACACTTATCTGGATCTAGCGACCTATGCTCACTGGATAACATGGATCCACAAATGGATGTGATCAAGTGTAGCATAAGGACCTTTACACTGCACCTACGTGGCGAGTTACCTCGTTGGTCCAGCTAAGCCAAACTCTGACGTGGATGAAAAAAGGTGGTTGGACCCGTGTCTTTGCAAGGTTTGCATCTTCTATCAGGGATCCGGTTTCCTCAGGCCAAAAAAGAAACCGTGAGCGGTCCCCTCTCCTATGTGCACGTGCTACTACCCTCAATCTTCCCATAGACGCCACCCGTCGCCTGGAGCTCCGTTTGTCATAGCCTTCGATCCGCGCGATCTTGTAGCTCGCCAGCTATGCTACCAGGTCTGACGAGGAAGGGGAGAAGCCTGAGGACGAGAAGAAGCGGAGGGGGTAGGTTGGGGGTGCGGTGACAGCAAGGGAGGAGCGGGTGCTGAGGGATAGCCACCGACAGAAGAAGTGACTAGATGAAGAGAGGCGCGACGGCTAGTAGCGAGGAGAGCCGGGGTCACCGCCATGCCATGGCTCATCCTCGACTCCTAAGAGGGGAGAGGCGACGACAGTGGTGGCCGAGCTCCCGCACCACTCCAGATCCATGCCGCCGTCGTCGAGTCCTTGCTCTCTAAGGAGAGGAGAGGAAGGTCACCGGTCATGTGCCACGGAGCTCGTCCTCGTCTCCCACTCGCGCGGCGAGGAGCTCGTCATCGTTCGCGCGCCGCTGAGCTCAAAGTCGTCCCCCGCTCGTGAGCCGCCGAGCTCGTCGTCATCCAACTGCTTGGCTCCACAGACCTCGTCGTCGTCGATTCGTCGGGTCTGCCGCCACCTCGGCTTCCTTGACCGCTGCTGCATCCCCATGCGGGTTGGGCTCGAGCAGCATCCGGGAGTGGAGAGGCCCCGATGGGGAGAGGGGATAGGCCGGTGGCGGCGTAGTTCGTTGCTGAGGTGTGGGGAGTGGGGAGAGGCCGGCGGCGGTGGAGTTCATCGCCAAGGTGGGGAGAGGCTAGAGGCGGCGGTGTCGCTGGTGAACTCGCCGAGGTGGGTGGGTGGGGAAAGTGGAGAGGGTCGTGGACCTGGTGGTTGTGGGTGCCTAGGTGGGGTTGAGATTTGTATTATTTTATCCACTATAAGGTGTTCATTGTAAAATTTGTACTTCTTTGTAAATTGAGAAAAAAATACGAGGGTTGAAATCAAAGTGGTAGGTGCTGAAACGAAAAATTTAAGTCACCCATAAGACCATTTGCGCTGTGGGGAACCAAAATTTAGACACGGTGTCTTTAGTTTATGTGGCATTTTTTAGGTTTCTTGGATGGGTAGCTTGCATTGCTAGTGTCGAGTGAGAGAAGACAGGAGGACGATCGCGAGTGAGTCACGAGCCTGCAATATAATGCACGCCCAACCGTAATACTGTACAGCAGCGCAGAGCAGGAATCTTTCGTTCCTTTCCTTTCTGTGCTCTTCATGCAATCGCAATGGCCCTTTAACTAATCAAGTGGATAATAAGTCATCTCTTTGGTTTATCAAGAGTATTAATTTATCTGCTCTCACGAAGTAATAATGATCCGTCCGTTTATTTCACCAACGACGGCCTGGATCTGCCTGTCTTACTGGCATCGTTTCTTGTTTAGATCCCAAAAAGTTTAGCCAAAAACATAACATCCCCATATTCTGTCCCAGAAAATCAAAATCATGGTTAAAATTTTTTTCTGGGCTAATTGGAAGGCCCAGGTATTTAATGGGAAACAAATACACTTTCACATGCTGGCAGAGCTGTCCAAATTAATGCTTGCTTATCATCCATCCTCTCCTATGCAATGGGTTTCTACCAATTACCTGAAGGTATTCATAAGAGGTTTGACTCTATTAGAGGGAGGTATTACTGGGCTGGAAACAAAAAAAAGAGGGAAATACCATATGGTGAAGTGGGATGACATAGCTTTTCCTAAGGATTTTGGTGGGCTAGGATTCACTGAAACCAGGAAGATGAATGCTGCCTTAATTGCTAAATGGATCATGAAACTGGAATCTGAGGACCATAGCCCATGTATAGATTTGCTGAGGAGGAAGTATTTACATAATAGTGGGGTGTTTCAAGTTACCCTAGGGGATTGCTCTCAATTTTGGAAGGGGGTTCTCAATTCCATAAAATGGTTCATGTTGGGGGCTGAGTGGAAGCTAGGTAGAGGTGACCATATTTCTTTCTGGCATGATTTTTGGGTTGGGTCATGTCCTCTGAAAGTGAGATTTTATAGGATCTTTGAGATCAGTAACCAACAAGACATTCTGGTTAGAGTGATGTTAAAGGAAGGATATAACTGCTTATCCTTTAGAAGGTCTTTTGGTCCAGATGAAGTAGAGGAGTGGAATGAGTTGAAAACTGTTATTTTAAATACTAAGTTGGAAGATAGGCAAGATCTGCTCTGTTGGGGTCTCAATTCAAAAAAGAGTTTTACTTCGAAATCTATGTATAGAGCTATGTGTTTCAGAGGGATTGTTGATAAGGAGATGGAGAAAATTTGGAAAGCGCCATGTCCAATGAAAATCAAACATTTCTTATGGCGGGCTCATAGAGATCGTATTCAATCTGCTGAACAATTGCAAAAGAAAGGATGGGGGGATGTTAATTGTGGCCTGTGTAGAGATTTTGAGTCTATTAATCACATCCTTTTTGTATGCCCTATGGCTCGCTTTGTGTGGTGTTGGTGTAGAGATGTTCTGAACTGGCCTTACCCTCCTAAAAATCTTGATGAGTTTTTTCTCTTATGCAACCACAGCTCTGCATTTATTAATGATAGATTACATATTATGTTGCTGGCTGCCATTTGCTGGTGTTTGTGGCTGAAAGAAACAACATGGTTTTCAGGAAAACTTTGCTTTACTCACCACTAACTTTGCCGTTTCAAATTATTTCTTTGTTGTTGCAGTGGAGGAAACTCTGTCGTGCTGAGGAAGAAGGGAAATTGGAACAATTTGCTGAGAAGATGAAGGAGCTGACCTCTAATCTAAAACCGAGAAGAACTGGAGTAGGGTGAATTAGTTTTTCTGTTGCTTTCCCTTTTGAGTTGTGCTATCCTCCTTTCCAGGCCGGGGTGTGGCCATCTGAACTTGTACTACATTGTAAGCTAGTTTCCTCAGCGCTACCACTTTGGCTTTCAGGAAAAGCCAGGTCCCTAAGGACCTTTTGTCTTAAAAAAAACATCACATCAAATATTTGGACATATGCATAGAGTATTATATGTGAAAAAAAACAATTCCACCGTTCGCATGTAAATTGCGAGAACGAAGAGGAAAGATCTACCCAAAAGTATTTGTAAAGAAAGATCTACCCATACGTATTTTTATGCTTCTAAATGAAATATTTTAAGAGCTAGTCAAAGTTTTAAAAGTTTGATAGAATAAAATCAATAATATCATATATTTAAATATAGATTATGCCCCAACAAAAATTCCAGCAAAAGAAACTTTGGTGCTTGTAATTTATGTATAAAGTTACATGCTGGTGGCAGCATCACATGTGAGCGATATCTAGTGATGTTTAATTCTGCCTGGTTCGCATGTGACATCCAGTGCTGATCTCAGACACTTGGATTTATCTTGCCCAGCTATATTGTTATAGTAGTACTCCCTTGGATTTTAAGTTTTTACTTGTAATGTTTAACCACTCGTCTTATTCAAAAAATTTGTGCAAATATAAAAAACAAGTTGTGTTTAAAGTACTTCGGATAATAAAGTAAGTCACAAAGAAAATAAATAATAATTCTAAATTATTTTAATAAAACAAATGGTCAAACAGTGCAACAAAAACTTAAAATCATTTATATTATAGGACGGAGGGAGTAGTAATTACAGAACACAGATATAGTAGCTATATTATTAGGATGGTCCCAATGTAACCCTTGTCAGCCAAAATAGGCATTAGGAATGCCCTAGGCCATGTTTGTCATTTCTTCAGGCAGACCCGGTAGACACAGCACTACTCCCTCCGTCCTAAAAAAAAGGCAAACCCTGGGTTTTCGTATCCAACTTTGACTGTCCGTCTTATATGAAATTTTTTTATAATTTGTATTTTTATTGTTGTTAGATGATAAAACATAATTAATATTTTATGCGTAACTTGTCTTTTTATTTTTTTTCATAATTTTTTTAAATAAGACAGACGGTCAAACATTGGGCACGAAAACCAGGGTTTGTCTTTTTTTTGGGACGGAGGGAGTAGTGGTGTAGCAATTCTGCTTCTGGGAAAGCATCTGTCCCCACATGATGTTCCTAGTCCATTACATTTGACTTGACTTTGACTCAAATGGAACCATATCACCTCTTCACAAAAGGTAGAAGGAAATGATTCAATGGCATAGTGTGATAGCAATGGTCACCTCCTCGAACGGAGTACAGAAAACACAAGTACCCAACAAGTGTAGGCAAACAACAGGGCAAAAATAAACCCAGTGATGATATGATTTCAGGATCTTCAAATTTTACACAAGGTGCAGCTCCTCTTTTCTTCTCAACAAGATGGAATAGAATTCGTGAATTACAAGCGTGCAGCTCTAGCCTCTAAGCTTGTGTTATCAAAATCGCTCCTCTCTTAGCATACCATAGTTCACCAGCACCCCAAAGCCTTCCGGTCAATGTTGGGAAACTTGGAGGTTGGAGATCAGGGCATATATTTATTTTTCGTTTATTCCATCCCATGTAATCATGGGACATCTTTTCTTTGCCAACACATCCTGATTATGCTTACATAAGCTGGCCAGACAATAAAATATGTCCATTTCCATACCTGAATCTGGTCACCCTTTCATGACCCCGAGATAAATGGGATCTCGGCTAGTGAAGTGGGAAGGGATAGAGGGAGATTTTGTGCAGCTAGATAAGTGATGATACCAGCTGCATAACCTGCAAGGGCAAAACCACTCACCTGCAAAACCAAGCGGTATAAATACAATGTGGACTCAAAAGACATAGATCATTTCAATGTTTACATATATTCTACGGGCCTAGTCACTTGTAGTTGCTAATTCCGTACAAGTACACACAACTTACTACCAATCGTTAAGGATTTGAGGTTCTGAGATGACACTAACAGCACGATGGACTTATAAATTAGTGTTGCAATTCTCCGAAAAGCACAAATAGTTGAAGAAAGGTGGGCAATCTACTTTACATCCAAATCATTGAGAAGACACTTGTGCAAATCTATAAACAAAGTTATGCCGTAAACAAATAAGCGAGCTTGGTTTAAAACATAAAACTATAACTAATTAATGAAAGCATGGTATTTCATCCCTTACAGAAAAGCACAATCTTGCCCTTACGTACGTACCATCAATGCATGATATCACAATTGTTTTCCTATAGAGAAGCTAAACCAAGCTGCAGTCCAAAATCAATTTTTTTCCCTGTTCCCAGCCCTTATCAGAATTACTGAAAGATATGATGAGCATATATGGATTGGATTTAACAGTTCGACAGGGAAATATCAACCACACCGAATAAGTTTCTTGTTCTGTAACATACGATTCTGTATTGTGTAAGTTGTTCCACAGCTCCACTTATTATTAGAGTAAAAGTTCAATTTACCTTGCGGAAATACCAAAAGAAATCCACCTTTTCCATTCCCATGAAAGCCACACCTGCTGCAGAGCCAATGATAAGCATAGAACCACCCGTACCAGCACAGAACGCAATAAGCTGCCAAAAGTCCGCATCTTGAGGAAATGAAGTCAGGTCATACATCCCCATTGTTGCAGCAACAAGTGGAACATTGTCTATAATTGCTGATGCTACACCGATAGCGCTTGCAATAAGGTCGGCATTCGGAATATTGGCATCGAGATAGTTCGCCAACTGCCTCAAAATGCCAGCAGATTCCAAGCTAGTGCAAGAGATTAGCAAATGAGGACCATGTAATTGATATATGGACTAGAGTACTAGACCACAAATACCACAAAAGCTAATTTTCAATGACTTCATTACAGGGTGGGCTAATTTATAAGCATGCGTAATGCACTATATGCATACAAACAAATGCTAAGAATTTACATTACTGCATATATAATGTTGGTCATATATGAAACTCATGGCTGAAAATTGATTTAATAATAGTAACAGTGCAAACATCCTGGGTAGCTTTAACATGCAAACATCTTGTTCCTACATAGCAGTTGTTCCCCATTGTCTACTATTCTTTGCTTATTCCTTGATACCGCTACCTTTCTGGTACATGTAGGGAAGGTTGTTCCATAAAGGATCCTCAAAAAGATCCACAGCGCATTATATTTAGAGCACATCAAACAATGGAAACAAATATGGAACCTAATCGTGAGACATCCTTTTGGGAGTATATTGACAGGTATCACACAAGTAATGTCTGCATACCACCAAATAAGCATGTTGATAAACATAAATATCACTAGGTAACTACCTGAAATTTTAATCCTGGAAAAACACCAATTATACTAACTATTATGCATGCTTAAGCTATACAATCGTTGAGATTCAAAAATGTAAGCATTTCTTAAATAATGAAAGGTAAGACATTTCTTAAATAATGAAAGGTTACCTACTAACCTGCCAACTGACATAAGAATTCCTAAGAAAAATAGAACTCCTTGTGTATCAATCCGTGACAGCGCTTGTGGAACTTTCAATCTCTGCCTTCCAGAGTCCCCATAATGTATCGCATCTGTCAGGATCCAAAGAATTGCAAGACCAAGCATCATGCCCATGAAAGGTGGCAGCCCAGTGAGAGCTTTAAACACTGGAACAAACACTAAGGCTCCAAGGCCAACAGCAAATACAAGTTGTCCTCGAGGAGCCATCTGCTCTGATGACAGCAAGCTGGAAGATTTCTGAGAAGATCCATTTGCTTCACTGATTCCAACATATATAAAGTAAATGTTAGATGAGGCAACAGAAATACTCTTTTCATGCTATCTATTAGTAGTGATTGGTTAACAACCTCGTGAGGGACATCAGAGCCAGTGGAACTGCCAATGAAACAACTGAGGGAAGAAACAAGCCCTGCCAGATCATAACCCAACCAATTCATTTCACGATCCAAATAAGTAGTGTTTTGATGACGTGGTAGGCAGAAACAGGATGAAAAACAAAAATTACCAATAAGTTACCGTGCAAATACAGACCCAATGACCTAATTTGCCACAATTCTCATGGTACTTGATTTCAATACTTATTTAAGCTACCTCACTTTTTTTTTTACAAAAGTCAGCAGGAGATACTCCTACAGGCCTACTGCGTGATATATATACTTCCTCCATTTAAAAATGTATATAAAGGCATATAGTTTGCAGGCTCTTACACCAAGGAAACCTGTTTGTTTTTACTAAAATACCCATAACTAATGTAGTACTACTCTAGTTGCATGCATTTATAGCCTATAAAAAAATAGGGGTATTAAGGGTAACAACACATAAAAGGTGCTTTGAAAAATGTGTGCGCCCTACATTCCTTTTACAGAAGCCTTGAAGAAATAACCCGTACATTTTTATACAGACGGAGTATATTATAAAAAGAACAGAATATGTAAAAGAGGTTGGCAATACAGATTACTTAAACAAGCATTTGAAACCATCATCTCAACATGCATTATAATTATTTGGGTGAATTTTAATTTTTAATACCTGCCACACACAGTTTGTCTATTTTTTTAAAATATTCACAAAAAAATGTGTACTGGGATTACCAAATTCCTTAGCTTTCTGAAAGGATTATTCAAATGTTCAAAACAAGTTCTCAAATATTAAAACAACAAAAATAGCTAGAACCATGAGAAATACTGCTAAAATATCACACTTGAGCTGCATTTGTTCGGTAATTTAGCTGATAAGGTGCAGTGTGAACCAAAATGTGTTCTTTGATAATTTGACTAATGATACACAATTTGAACAAAAATAATTTTAAGGAATTTTTATGTAGTTTTACTTAATATATAGCATTTGCAAAATAATACAATAAAAAAATTCAATGTAGTTTTTTTCCTTGAAAACACAGGACTAAACTTCATTTCATTAAAAAGAAAGAAGGAGGAAAAAAAATATAAACGAGAGGATCAAAACTGTCATCCCCATAGAACACACACACACACACATACACTCATCACCTAAGAGGCAACGCACAAGTCCAGCCCTCTAGCCATCCAGATTAAAAAGTTCAATGTAGCGGAAGTCATGCATTTCCAATAAAAAAGGACATGCATATATGTAGGATGTTTATAAAATCAATCATAGATGTGAGTACTCAAATCTTAGTTGATACATCCAGTACCAATTAAGGGGAATAATGCAACATTATAATCCAAAAAACTTGACGTATGTTTTAGAGGCCTCACAGCCATGAAACAATTATATAAACACATAATAAAACACTATAAAGCTGACCTGCATTGTGTTCAACGTTGTAATCTGACCATGAATCCACAACATAGTGGTCGTCACATCACCAATTGGTGTCCATGCACCCCCAGCATTTGCAGATATCACAACAACAGCGCCTAACAATCTGTCCCAATAAAACAATAGGGAAAACTCAGGAGGTCAGGATGCAAGACATTCTTCCAAACAATTTCTTGTAACTTATGATGTCGTGTACATTAAAAGCTAAATGTCAAAATGCCTAGTGTAAAAAAATCCCACTTGGTGCAGGTATGCAAGACACACCAGGTTCACCTCAAATTGGCACAAAATATTCCTCAAACAAACCAAGAAGGACGTAATGGACTGGCCTAACAACAGCTAACTTCGAGAAATAGAAATGGAATGTTGGCTACAACTATGAGCCTCTTATTTCTGTTACATTTGAACCATAATTTGGAATGTAGAATTTTGCAAAAATTAATTCAGTGCACAGAGGAATCCAGGAAAAAAAAATCATGTTCGAAAGGGAACGTTACATGGTAAGAGGAAGGAAAAGGTTCGCTCTTATTTCTCGAGGTTGGCAGGTCAGCCGATTAACTGCCTATTCAATTCTTGTCCCACCATATATGATTTTAATCTTAACTTCTCCATACATTTCAAACTATCTCATCATTTTTATTTATTTTTTTTTGGGGGGGGGGGAGCTTTTCAAGCAGATTTCTTGCCTAAACCAGGGAGGTGTCAAGGCATAGGGACATAGGGATAGCAGAAGTGAGCTAGGCCTAGGTATTATAGGGGTGATCGTAGCTCTCCATCATTTTCTCAATTCCCCTATCCAAATAGTAGATGAGATCTAACCTTATATCCCAAATCCCATAACCATCCCTGCTATCCCTAAATCCTGCCCAAACATAAGATGAGATCTGACCTCAAATCATAATTCTCATCCCAATCCTGCGGTGCTTGCACCCTTGAACCAGATGATCAACTGCAGTACATACTTCCCCTACTAACTTGAACTCTTTGGTATACTGTGGCTCTGTGCAATAAGGTGGGACGATCATCATAAAGAAAATTTCTTGAGACATGTGAAGAAATACTGTAAGTTATTAAATTGTGTTTAGTATAATATATTTCCTTAAAAGCATCTGTAACTCATATTTAACTGGACCAGCCTACATATACTGCAACCAAACCACATATTATCAACATATAAATCATTTTCAAGCATTTGTGTAATACATTTCGTTCGACAAAGCTTCAGCAAAGACATGTGCATAGCACGAGTAAGAAGATCAAACTGTGGGTCGTACAGCAATTAAGCAAAATCAAGCAATGAAATGTCAAAATGCTAAACCTGTAGTGAATAAAAATTTTTTTATGGAAAAAACAACTATGCAAAGATGCCAACACAATATTTTGAAACTAATCCTGTAAACAGAGCAAACATAAAATAATTGAATTTATTTAGCATGCAAGTATTTGACCACTGAAAATCAAATCCGTACAAAACAATAGAGAAAAATTACCAGAGCATGTACAAAAGTGATATAAGAGATTATGGAAATTCGTACTTTCTGTACTCTGATGGAGGTACTAGTTTCCGAAGCAATGAAACCATCACAATAGTGGAAGTCAAATTGTCAAGGATAGAACTCAAGAAGAAAGTTACAAACCCTATCTGGAAAACAGAAAAATCCTTGTGTTACAAAGCAACATGATGAAAATAACAGAAATAAGAATATATTAATCCAAGGTTTAATATTGATTAGCTTATGAAATCAAATATTTCCTTTATTTACCAAATAAATTATGTAGCTAGAGATGAAGGCATGATTAGAAGTTGCCTATAAGGAAATAGTAGGAAATAAATGATCTATCATATAAAAAATAATGAAAGAAGTTACTCAGAACAAGAGAAGTAAAATGTGCATGGACAAAAATAAGAATAGATTAATATATCAAACCAGTTTTGGATTTCAAGGAAATATTTCTCCTCTTCCAAAATCAGAATTCTCAGTGGATAAAATTTTAACATCAAATACTTGACCTCCTTGTTCTAAAGAGGATACAAGCTTATGATATTGCCAGTATTGAACTAACAGTTTATTCTAGGAAGCATAGTAATTCATATGCCACATTAATTCAGCATGTACTCGAGAAATTTACATCTCAGGGATGTTTGTCAAGATTTTATTTCTAAATAAAAATGTAATCCAATTCATTCTTGCATTTTGTGGGTATAGACTGGAATTTGTCTATGAATATGGTCAAAATTATTTATCCACAGAACAAACTCTTGCATTTGCTGATATCACATATAGACAGCAGAATTTATTTGGTTTTGCTACATATCATGGCCTGAGTGGCGATTGGAAGGAATTAGAAGGATAAATCAGATCTCCTGTCAAAAAGGGAGGGGAAGGATAATAAAACTTATAGACTCAGCTGCACAAAGATCTGTTCTTAACCTCAGAAAGAGTGTGGTTCTAGGCCATTTTGGTAACACGGCATCAACAACAGGAACCCATCCATTGAAATTATGTCATTGAGAATTATAGCGTATACAATCTACCAATATAACAGAATATTCAATGATCAAAGCATATGTAAAAAACAAAAAACTCACCACCCAGAGAAGAGTTCTTGGATTTCGAGTAGATATATTGTCAGTCACTAGCTTAAATCCTTGATGTGCATCAACAATCTCAACAATGGTCATTGCACCGAGCAAGAAAAAGACTATTTCACTAACTTCGGCGGTTGTATGACTCAACTCTTGAACTGCTACATCAGTAGATGGAGCCTAAATTGCAGGAAGAAACAGAAAATAGACAACAATAAAGGTGATCCACCATGATTAAAAAAAAAGTGATTCAGTAAATAGAATATAATAGGTGATAAAAAGTTCAGAACATGAACCACATTACTTCAATGGAAATGCAAACCCTCCGCAGGTTGAAATGCTGGCACTACAAAGCTAGATATTCACTAAGGAAGATGAGATATTTTAGTCAACCGCATTTCTTATTCAGTTCAAATTTCAGAGGAGTTTGCAATTTTTTTAATCAATTTGATCGTGGTGAGCGCTATACTGCATCTGAATGGCATTCAAAGTATCAACTATCTAACATTGCTCATGTTGCAACTAAGCACCATATTCTGACTCAATAATGACGAGGCTAGAAATGTATTCGCTAAAAGTGTCTTAAATTTCTTCTCTTTTTTTATTACAGTTAAAAAAAATGCAGAATATTAAATATGTTCTTAGTTGCCTATTATGCAAATAAACTAAACTAAAATGTGAAAAACATAAATGATTAAGAGGGCTGATGCAACCAGCCAGCCAGAGCCTCAAGAAAATTCCATAAAATATAAATAGAATGTTTCTCTTACAGATTTAATTATTTTGAGCCTGAAGCAATAACAATATTAATATCAATTTGACTACTCAAAAAGCTATCAATTTCTGTCTAAACTTCTCAAGGACATGTGTTCCAACAACAATAATCAAGGCAGTCTAATGGAGAAACTATGAAGTAGAGATTTAAGATTTAGGATTGATAGGTTAAATCTTAAAGATACAAGATGTAGGACCGATAGCTTGTCATTCGGAAAGGGTTGTTCAAGTCTTCACGGCAACTTCACAGATTAGCTTACCCCGATACTTCTGATAACCCATAGGCAAACGGCCATGAGCAATCCAACTCCACTTTTGTTAAACGCTAGTGATTCCTCAAATATGATACCTGCATAACCGAGAGCAAACACTAGCACCATTGCAATGTCCTGCAAAAGTAAATATATGAACTAAGCTCGGAAGAATCATCACTCGAACATCCACAACTACAGATAGTTAAAGATAAGTGGAGGGATGAAAAGAAAACCAGATTTAAAAGATGGGGTATTTGAGCATGATGCCTACGAATGAACTGACCTGATGTTCAGCAACCCAGGAATGGTTTATTGCAGCTGCCCCAGCCAAAGCTGTTGCTATTATAGTTAAAGCTTTAAGAAGATCATTTTTTGGCTTGTAGTTAGCTTCAAAATACTGTGAGCTAACTTCATCAACGGAGCATAAAGGATCACAATTTCCTGTCGTGTCCAACAGCTGAAAAATTAATGGAACAGGAACTTGTTAACAAATACTACATATGAAAATTTAACAAAATTTTAGTACAAGTGCGCATACAATGATACAAATAATGGCTCTGTCTCACACAAAAAGTAAAACCACCGGTAACTTCATAGCTGAGGTGGAAACAGCTTAAAGTGGCAACCCTGTCAAAGTATTATTGCACGATCTGCAAGATTGCTGGAATAAAAATAACAGAATATTATGTTGCTAGTTACATCTCTATCTGTTCCTTTTTGTAAAAGAAAAGGAGAATATGCTACTCCTATTTGGATGCAGCCTTGTATTTTACTGCAGATATCGTGCAGTGCAAATCCTTATGTACAAGTTTGATAGAGAGGGTGATGACAAGTCTTTTATGCGGATGCAGGAGTGAGATGTTCCTTCAAGTGAGTGAGCATTGGCATAAATTTTTTGTTGCACCAATTTCATTTATATACATGTAGTAGTATCCAACAATTAGCAGTAATTCACGTGTTTGCTACTAAAGCCAGGCGGGCCTGTGCGAAAGGTAGTGGCATGGTGAGTACTTGTTGCGAAAACACTAAGGGCGGCCTTGTTGGGTTAATCCCACCTACAAGGCCACAAGGGGATTGGAAGGGAGCCTCCAATCAAATCCGTCCGTCTTGCAGATTAAGTGAGCAAGGCATAAGGGATCGGGAGAGAAATGAATTCCGTTTGAGATTGTATGTAGTATTCCTGTGATAAGGAGAGCGAAAATGGCAGAAGCAAGAGGAGGTGTAGGTGTATAATATAGTAGAAAGCAGGGGCGAACCCAGGGCCCGGGCACCCTGGGCCACAGACCGGAGCTTGGGCCAAATAATAATGGACCTCCACCTAGATGTATCTCAGAAGTTTTGGCCCAACAAGGTTTGGCCCGAGGCCCAACATGTGGCTAGCCCTACTTCTCCGCTATGCGACGAGAGACCGAGAGAGTGCGCCGTCACTAGGGATGGCAATGGGGACCCAAACCCCGACTAGGAAAAACTCCATTAGGGGATGTAAATGGGATGAAATTGTCACCCATGGGGCTATTTTCGGGAAAAAGTTGCCCCCATCAGGTGAGCGGGGATGGGGACGTTCCCAGTCCCCCAGCCCCGAATCCCTGGGGTGCCCCGAGAGTGGTCACATGTACATGCCCACAGCCCATAGTCCATAGAAACTAAAGCCCATTTAGAAGCCCAATTCGTATGTGCTTGTATATAAACCAAGAAACCCTAGGTCACTCTTCCCATCCTCCCCACCGATCCCCTTCCTCTCAGATCCAATCAAACACCGGCCAAGGGACGAGGTCTTCAGCCGTCGACCGTCGCGCCTCTAGGGCCTAGGCCACAGCACCGACGCCTCCAGGCCGCGCCGCGTAGCGTGCTGCAGGCCACGTTCTCTGTGCTGCGACATAGTGTCGCACCGCCACATGCAAGTGACCACGCCGAGCTCCTGTTGCCGCCTCCAAGCAGCTTGCTCGTGCAGCAATTTGCAAGGAGCAATGCAAGAGGATGGCGATGGCACTTGGTGCATGCACATGCATCTACTTGGCTTGTTTTCTCAACGTTTCTTTTTTTCTCGTGTTTATGGCTCAATGTAGCTGGTGCTTAATAATTGAATACCGTAGCTTCTGATTGATCTGTGTCTCCAACTCTCCGTGGTCATGTATGTACTATTAGAAAATATAGATGTATGCTCTCCAAGATGATTTTTCTCGATATGTTCTCTATCTGACAATGGCCTTGTCAGGTGTGCGGCCCCGTTGGAGCCCCGTGTCCCCCGTGGGGCTCGGGGACGGGAGAAATTAAAAGCCCCAATGATGGGGACAAGGACGGTGGTCGAGTGATTTCTGACTGCACGGGGATGGGGACGGTGGGCTACAACCCGATGGGGATGGCCCCGTTGCCATCCCTAGCCATCACCCAGCGATTCCCTCCCTGCTCCCTCTTGCCCAGCCGCCAAATGTCGCTACTCTTCCGTTGACCGCCCACCGTCAGCATGCGCACCGCTCCTCTGAGCCTCCGACCACCCTCCCCGGTCACATCCCTACCCTCTAACCCTGTCTCCTGCAGTGCTGCCTCCTAAGCTCCTCTCCCTGACTCCCTGGCTCTGCATAGGCGCCGTGGCATTGTGCTGTGAACGCGGCCACGTGGGGTGCGGGCGTGCGGCACGCCGGCACCGCTGCACGGTTTGCCGCCAGTGGCCTACTCTGTCGCTCCGTTAGCATCCGGCAAGGAGCAGCAAGCAAGCAGAGGACATTGTGAGACTTGCTGCTGACTTGGTATGGTGAAACTTCCAATCGCTATTTGACTATTTCTTTTATTTTTAAATGATGAAATGCCTAAGTAAATTAGCTGCAGAAGTACAGAATAGTAATTCCATTCAATTTGTAATAAACTTGTAATAGAGAATTAGAAATGAAAGATGAAGAGAGAGCTATGGTTTAGGACGTCACTAAAATCTTCGTATGCCCAATTGGAGCCACAAGCCCACAATCCTCCAAAGAGTGGTTATAGGAGCCGGCAGCACTCAGCAGCGCAGTTTTTTCTTGTGATTATGTGAAGATGGTTCAGAGTGAGGCACACAGTTTTTCCTTTGGTTTATTGGTTCATCGAATTAGCTTTTGTTTTACCGGTGGCAAAACAGGTGAATTGTCTTTGGTATGTCAATTCTTGTTCTAAGATTTTCTTATTATTAATTTTATTTATTCCCAAACACTGTCTTTAATATACATTTTTATTTTTTTACTTTATAGGATGAAGATCTGCAGCTACTATAGTTGAAAGAGGTCCACGAGGATATTATAGGATGAAAGGAAGCTAATGCGCAACGAGGTATTTGTACTTATGTATCACTTATAGGATGAGAGGAAGCTAATGCACAACGAGGTATTTATACTTATGTATCACTATCAGATTGCAATTAAAATTTGTATTGTACTTTTAGTGGTGATTAGTGTGGTGTTTATGTTATTGGATAGGAGTTAGACTTGGCGGGGGTTAGGGTCCGGCACTGGTAGAAAGAGTGGAGGTCCGCAGCAGAGTAGTACCTCGTAGTCGTCAGGGTCGTCGGGTGGCGGTGGCGGCGAGGAGGCGGAGAAGCGGCACCATGGTGGTCGTGGTCGTGGGAGAGAGGTGGCGAGGGGCGGCGCTTGGCTGAGGCGGTGGCGGTGGCGGAGGGCAGAGGGGATGAAGGAAGGGGAGAGCGGTCGAGGTGGAGGTGGAGGATGAGGTCGGACGGCGGCGAGTAAGCAGGAGGAGAGCGCCGCCATTAATTGGTACTACTAGTCTAGTCTCTCTCTCTCTCTCTCTCCGTGTGAGTGAGAGTGCGCGTGACTGCGTGGTGTGGATGAGGAAGAGGGAGGGAGGGAGGTGATCGATCGAGCAGCAGCCAGCACTGCAGCCCCAGAACGTGGGCCCCACCCGTTCTCTCTCCTTCTCCGAAGAACTGTCTCTCTCTCTGTTGGATGTGGGCCCCACCCGGCCCGACGACATCGCGCAAAGAATCGGCCGCAAGAGATTCTCCGTTGCCATCTTCTCTCTTTATTTACACACATACTCATCCGTCTCAACATATAGTGCCATTGTTGAATTTTTCCTAACATTCCGATCATTTATCTTATTCAAAAATAATCTATTCTATTGTGACTTTATTTTATTTTTAAATAATTTAATAATAATAAAATTATGTGAAAAATTAACGGCATCATATGGCTTGGGACGAAGGTAATAAATGCAATTGAAAATCAAGGAAATTAACAATGAAGACCCATACATTCATAAGCATGGATGTATACCTTAAAAAAAACCGCTCAATCCGTTCTAAATTGTAATCTTATTTTTAAGAAAATATCACAAGTATTAAGGAAAGAGAGTAGAAAGACTTATTTATCTTCTCGGGATAGATGGGTTGCAGACTCCGATAATAAGAGACCAAATAATAATAGTGGTAGTTTGGAAAGATTATTAGTGAAACAATAATATTTTACACGTCGTAGATTGCTACATTTAGGATGGGGAGTGATTAAATATTAAACACTAGCTATACTAACTTGACTAGCAGAATGCCCTTAAGTTGTTATAGGGATCAAAAGATAATCATACGGTATTACGTGTTCACGTGAAGGTATCATTATATATTATATATTAGACGATATACAATAACTTTGTTCTTTGATTTTTAATGATAATCGCATTAATTTGTTTTACTTATCTTAATGATCAAGAAAATAGATAAGAAGAAAAAAAAACCTAAAATTTATCCTAAAATCAAATCCTACGGTTCAAATTCTGATTCACCTACCCACTTCTCTCTCTGGTCGAAACATAAGCTACTCCTAGTACTCTCTTCTCCATTTAACTTTAAGAAGCATATATAAGGACCCATGTGTCATTAATGAGGTGGTGGTAGCAGATTTATTACCACCACCATTACCTTTTTTTTAAAAGTGGTATAGATAACTTTAAGTGTATGGCCAACGCTCCAGCGTGGAGCGTGGTCTCACCCTGCCCGAGGGGAATATTCCCGTCAGCTCGGACGGGACCGCACCCCAGCACAGGTGCGCGACCCCTAGTAGAGGTGCGCGTGGTTTTATCAAAGTGGGGCGAGGAACGGGTGAGGAGCCGCGTTGGGAGAGGCCTCGCCCCATGCCGTGGCCTCGGGACGTTGCGGCCAACTAGCTCCAGTGTCAAGGGCGAAGATGGCGAGGAGGTAGGCGGGGCAGAAGAATAAGGCGTCGCTGTCGCTCGATCCGCTACCGCCGCCGCTTGATCCGGCGCTGGGGAGAGAGGGCCGGGCCGGGGAGAGGCGGCGCTGCCGGGGAGAGAGGCGGTGCCACCGGGGAGGGGAGGCGCGGGGAGAGAGGCGACGCTGGGGAAGGGACCACTGGAGAGAGAGGAGGCGCTAGGAGAATAAAAATAATCTAAGGGCTTAAATGCAAAATGTTACTAACTGAATGGTGCTGAAATGCAAAAAAAAAAAAAAAAAGATGGAGGTATGGCTTGCACTGTGTGAGGCATCTCCCTAGCTGGGTCCTGGATCACTAGGGGTGCTCCCTGCGCTGGACATGCCCTAAGGAGTACACGTAAGGACCCACATGCTATTGATGGGATGGTGATAGCAGATTTGCTGTCACCATCATGGCCTTTCTTTTAAAGTAGTATAGATGATTATCTAGGAATCAATGTCAACAAGTGACTTCATTACATCTCGTGTTATAATGACCTAAAATAGTTACTTCCTCCATCTCGAACTATAAGGTACTCATGTATAAGATTTGAACTTTATAACTTTTTACTAACCATTAGTCTGATAATATATAATGATGGGCTTATTGATATAAATATGGTACGGTATTGGTGGATTCATATTTTGATTTTTTTTTTTACATATGACGTTAGTTTCGCTATGAATAATAATATACCATGACAGAAAGTGACAATCAAAAGTTAGATGTTGAAGACTGTATGAGTCAAACCACACCTTATATTTATGTTTTGAGAGTAATTCGCATTGCATGGGAGGGTGAACTCTTCAAGCGGGGGACCATGTGTTGATACAAAAAAACACACACTGGCCTGGAAGATCTGCTTAACTCCTGTGCAGGTCCAAAATCTCGCCTTTAGGTTCGTGAGCGTGCCAGTTGATTTGATCCTACAATCAACAAGAAATAAAGATAAGAAAGAAGAATCGGTTGTACCGGCTCTATCGGCTGCATTGTCCATCCTCTGACCGATTCCAACTCAGCCGATGCATACTCCAGCCGATGCCTCTGCAACCGATGCACAGTCTGTTCTTTGAATCTAATTCTTTGCCAAATCCGCTTCGATTCCAATGTCAAACATGGTTTACATCTTACCAAATTTGGTCGTTAACACCATGAGACCCCCCTTCGGTTCGGACCGGGGACGCGGTGAAGGATTGAGAATCGGTGAGGGAATGAGAGGGGGTCGGGCCCCTCACAAGCGGTTGGAGATGGAAAGAGTTTAGATAGGTTCGGGCCGCTATGGGAGCGTAACACCCTACTCCTGTGTGTGATTGATCTCGGTGGAAGAATACAAGTGCTTTCGGCTTTTTGGGATTCATCCCCTTTTTCACTGGGGCATGGACCTCCTTTTATATCTCAAGGGGTTACCACAAGAGCCCAAGCCCTAGCTTCAAGGGTAAGGAAAACATTCTTTATAGGCAATTAATGCTTATCTATTGTCTGACGTGCGGAGCCATGTGCGCCTTACCGCGGCATGGGCCCGTCCCATCATGCCGAGTGACATGGGCGAAATCCTTATTAATTAATGACGACTTTCGCCCATCCGTTCCCACCGCTTGGCGGTGATTTCTCGAACGGACCGTATAAAGAGATTTGGTCTGGGTTCAGACGAGAGGCAAAAAGCCCCTCATTAATGGTGATTAGACGAGGCGGCGCAGGCCATGTTCCCTGGCAGCTGTAGGCACACGCGCAGGGCGCCCTGCCCGCCATCACATTTTTTAACGACTCGCACAAGATGGTGCGATGTTCTATTGATAGAGCACGAAAAAATTACAAGATTACAACCCTGGAGGGTCATAACCAGGAAAAAGAAAAAATATACCACCACCCACACACCGGCAGCGTCAACACACACGACAGGAGAAGGTTAGCACCGGACCGGCCGCCGCTAAGCGTGACCGGCCGCCGCTAGACCAACAAAGGAACACATACGAGATCGCCCTACAGCAAGGGGTTGCCAAAACAACGTCTTCAAGAAGAGAAGCGACGGAAAACCGCCGCCGCCGTCCGTCAGGGCTCAAAGGAGCCAAGACTGGGCTTACGCCCGGCAACCGCCCTTGAGGGGTAAGACAGCACGACAACGCCCTCAGGAGGGGGAATTAACCATCGTTGTCGGTTCGGCTAAGGCCGGGCTAGGTTTTCACCCGCCGCTCGCCACCTACGAATCCACGGCTGACGCACCGATGCTCCACCACCACTCAAACTTTGTCGACATGTGGGGCCCCTGCACCGACGCCCCCCGCCGGCCAACCTTCGTGCGCCGAAGACCGCACCACACCCAACGGCAGCTCCACCATGCACCGAGGTCGCCTCTTCGACCGCCGGCTGCGCCTCTCGCGCCAAGCCGGCCTCCTCCACCGGATGTGCCTCTCGCGCCAATCCGGCCTCCCTCCATCGGCCGCGCCTCATGTGCTAAGCCGGCCTCCATCTCCACCGCCCGCGCCTCTCGCACCGAGCCGGCCTCCGCTGCCATCGGCTGCGCCACTATGCGTCATGCCGGTCTCCGACCCCTCCTCCAAAAGATGCTACGTCGGTTCGATGTAGCCGTCTGCCACGCCCTCGGCAAGCCGTCCGAGGCCGCCATGCCTCCTCCCACCACCGACACGGTCACCACCACCTCACTGTCGCCGCCGTCACCTCACATCCGACTCCTTCCCCGCCTTCAATGCCGACGTCGCCGCCGCCTCCTCAGGCACGGTCGCCGCAAGCCGGCTGCCGTCGCTGCTACCGCCGCCACCAGCCACTGACGCTAGCAGCAGCCGTCGCAAAACCGCCGCAACCTCCAACACAGCCGCCCCGACACCGTCGCCATGCGGGGGGGCCAAATCGGCCTGCAACGCCTGGATCCGGCCGCCGTCGCCAGCCTCGCCGCCAGATCCACCCGTCATCGTCAGCCTCGCCGCCACCTCCATCCCCGCCGCCATCTCCATCCCCGCCGCCGGCGCCTCCTCACCATCCCCGACGCCGCCGTCACCCCCGCCACCGTCGTCGCCTTCCCCGCCGCCAGCCGCCACCAACTGCCGCCGCCACCAACTGCCGCCGCCACCTTAGGCCGACCCTCCACCGGCGGCCTCCCCGCCAGATCCGGCCACGGCGGCCCGGATCTGGGCGGCCTTCTCTGTCTCGCGTGGCCCCCCACCGCCGACGGGAGAGGCAGACGAAGGCGACGAAGCCCCGCTGCCGCCCTCCTTGCGACCGCGCGGCTTTGCCGCGGCCGCTCGGGCGGCGGCGAGGCGGCAGAGGGAGGAAGGGTGGAGCGGCGACGCTGGCGGTTTCCGCCTCCCGTATCGCCCGTGAGGGAGGGTGACGCGGGGGAGAATGTATATCTGAGTGCCCGCCGTCACATCAATCATTCTGATTTAGAGTGGCCGGTTAGTGCGCCTGCACACTGCATTTAATGTGACGTGCTGCGTTAACCCTCCTCAATAAATGTAGTGGGTGGGCGCTGCCACACACGCGTGGTGGTGTGTGGAGGGGGTCAGGGCAGCCCGACCCCTTTTGTGGAAGATAGCCAGCACGCCAGCCCCGGGTGCACACCACGTGGGATTGAGGCGACCTTTTCCCTCCGTACGTACCCTGGGCCCATAACACCG